CCACTTCAGGAAAGCACGATAAATGCAGGCAGATTAACATGCCAGGCTGCAAATAAAATGTAGTTTAATTTTTTAGGAAATATAATTAATTTTACATTAACATATTTAAAAATTACATATATGAAAAAAAATACTGTGGTGGTATATTTTTAGGTGCATCACAGCAACATCTTTGTTTAATGAATAATGAGAAAGGAAACTATCAGCCATCTTCATACTCTTAAGATTAAATAATTTCAGAACTTCAAAAGAAACAGATTATGTGTTTTGCATGTTGTGATATGGTGAAATTGTTGACTTCTTTGTTTCCATGGCTGTGAAAAGGTCATGCCAACCTAAACAATTGCAAATGATTAAGAACAAGTTTTTAGTGTTTGGGTTTTCTGACAGGAAGAACAGCCGCTGCGCGCAGCCTGCGTCACAACAGCGTTTATCCGTAAAACAGCATCTGAACAAACAGCTTCAAAAGAAGCACAGACTGCTGAGATCTTCCATTTCCAGACAAAGCTCGACCATTTTGTGCGTGAAGCCCCGCACGTCTGACCCACTAACACAGATCTGCTCACGAGACGTCATAAGGGGGTGGAGTCTGCAGCGTTCAAAACACAGCTTGTCCCCAATCCTTCCTGATCTTCGCTTCCTGCCTCTTTTGCGCTCTTTTTTTTAAATTTTCCCTTTCTTTATTTGTATCATCTGCTTTGTGAAACTTTATTGCGCTTTTATTCTTTGTTTTTCTTTTGTTATTATAAAGATATAATGCAGCTGCTCTCCGAGATACATTTTGTTCCGAGATTATTTTCCCGAACAGATCCATCTCACTGTTGTTGACTGCTGGTTTGTTGTCTTCGGTGAATATGGATTGATTAAAAAAAATACCGTATAAATGCAACCGCCGTCCAAGACACTGCCTGCTTCTGAAATCAAAGAGGTAAGACTGTCTGAGTGCAACTAAATAACAGGAAACTAAATGCTTTTGTTTGCAGGAGTAACTGTGCAGGAAGTTGCAGCAGCTGCACTTCATTATTCCGCCAGAATTCAGTCGCGTTGTGATGCATTTAAGTTAATTTTGTCCCTTAAATGTGGGTTTTAATGTTGCTTCATCGTTTCATGTCTGCCTGCAGAGTCTGAAAATGGCGTTGTTTTTGAACAAAGTAAGCGCTCATATTATTTCCTGCTGCATACGTTGATGTTTTGAAGAGTTAACAATTTATATTTACACAATTTTTTACAATAATGGAACATATAAATACACAATGATTCTTCCAAAGAGTCAGCTCTCAGTTCTTACGTTTGTAAACTGCATTAAAATCAATGTTTACGTGGAAAGAAAAGTGCAGCTCAGACAATGGATGTAGTAATGCTTTTGGTGTTGTAGAGATTTGCTGGAGGCCAAAAGTACATCAGTTCAATATATAATCAGGTGTTAAATCTTTATAATTTAAATAAAATCGGAAATTATTGTAGTAAATAAATGCATTCATCTATAAAATTATTAAACATTTTAATCAAATTGCACAATAGTTTAATTATACAGACAGCTAAAATAACAAATTCATTAAGTTAAATGAATATGAGTGTTTCTATTTTTCACAAAGTGCAAAGCTCGACTGGTAATTTTACTATTTATTTATTTAATGTGCATATCTAAAAATGATGCTGCCTGTCAGACAGTTGGCTCTGCAGAGCCTCCTGTTTGATTGTAGCAGATTTATTAAATTATTTTTTTTTCATAGAATTTTAGAATATAATTTAATGTAGTAATTCAAATCATTTAAGTATTTCATAAATTATTAATGTTTATATGAAAACTAACACAATTTGAAAATTCATTTCTTGCATTAATTACCGTTGCCATAAAAAATATGACTCTTTATTTAACCATGGACAGGGTTGTGTTCACTGTAAGCAAATGTTTGTCAGGTGTGTGAGCGCTGGGTGCAGGCTGGCCTGTGCTGTGGAGGGGATGAAGAACCCGGTGGTTGCAGAGAGCCGCCGGCTACTCGGCCTGCTGGAGGCTGCTCTGCTCAGAGAGGCTCGTCTGTGGAAGGTCCCGCTCTTCAAAGACGGATGCATTCAGGTGAGCTAATAATTAGGAGGGATTTGGGAAAGATCCAATTGTTTCTGGTTGAGACATGCAAGGAACTGAATTTTAGTTCCAGTCAGCAAGATCAGCCCAAGGATGTTAGGGGCCTTAAGGAGAATGTGACTTGGAGGCCGACGTCCTGTTAGGCTTACTGAACACCAGCCATTACTAGCAGTGTGTTGATACAGATTTAGTTCAGTCAGGAAGATGAATTTGTCAACAATCTCAGCTCAAAAAACTAGTGGATTAAAAATTTAACTGGTGGCAATAAATTACCACATAATTATCAATCTGACATTTTTTGTTGTACATGTACAGCATGGATTTATCAATTTTTAAAGTTTAAAACAATCAAAAATTGTAACAATATAGTATTTAAATAAGCAAACATGAAAACCAGAGGTGGACATGTACAATTTGTGAATAAATGATGAAGTTACAAGTAAAAAAGCCAGCAATTACTATTGTAAGAACTCATTGTTTGGGTGATTTGACTTTGTTTTCTTTCCATTTGCTTTTCAAGAGCATTCCCTTTACTTCTGCTATACCAAGGCTGCACTTTTAGTTTTTTGTTGCCTTTTCTTTTTACTGCATGTGAAAGAATGCATGATATCTGGCCATTGTCATGGCGACCAATCTTTCCCTTCCTGTCAGTTAATGATCAACACTTGTCCTTTCTTTATCTGGCAGGGTGCTGACATCTCCTTGTCCCAACACCAGCAAATGATTGTTTGGATTGGAGAAATGAACCGGCTGTTTCACTTCTGTCCAGAAACTTTTGCACTGGGAGTGTGTGTCCTTAACCGCCTGCTGTCCACTGTCAAGGTAAATGGCTGCAGCCTTGTGTACGGGGTCGTACATTTTGTTTTTGCCCAATTATTTTCACATTTGGCATCAGCTACAGCCAGATGAACACTTTTCTTTTCCCCAAGGCTCAGAGAAAATATCTAAAATGCATCGCTTTTACCTCCCTGGTCCTGGCTGCCAAAATCAACGAGGAAGACGAGGTAGCCTCTTTCATAGACACACAGAAACACTTCACACATTTTCAAAACAATATGTTTATTTGGCTTCTGTTGGTATCTGTTTGCAACAGGTTATTGGTTCTGTTAAAGACCTGGTGGTGCGGAGTGGATGCAACTTTTCGACAGCGGAGATTCTTCGCATGGAGCGGATCATTCTGGACAAGCTGCACTGGGATCTGTACACGGCGACACCGGTCGACTTCATTCACATCGTGAGTTTACAGAACAGCAGATTAATTAACAGTTCTTTTTTTCCCATTAGACCTCAGCATCTCAGTTACTTGTTGTCTTACAGTGAAACACAAGCAGTACAAAAAGCAGACATTGCAAACCATCATGCTTCAAGATTCTCTGTTCCACATTTAAGGGTTGGTCCTGGGTTACATTGTGCATTTATTTAACTGGACTTCATGTGCCTGTGATTAGAATTACAAACTACATTTCTAGTTCTGATTGATATGCAAACTTCAAGTCAGAAAATCTGATGGGAGATTGTTAGATTTCCCATCTTCTGATGAATTATAACTTCAAGTAAAAACGGGTTTTAATTGTATCGGTCGCAAAAGCAAACACTTGTTGGTATAAAAAACCAGCAAATCTGTTTTCTGACACAATAACAGCTTCTTGCAGAAACGGTGTATTCTTTTAATACCAAATAGATGCAGCAAAACAATTTGTTCCAAATTTCAAGAGTGCATTTGCAAGCTACCAACAAAGCATGCATGCTGCGCATTGGGCCAAGGCACTTCTGACTTTTCTGCAGCCATAATGTGGAAACATAAACCCTGTTGCCACCAGATGGCAGGTTGGATGAGCTGATGTTGCCTGGGCTTTCAGACCTCAAGCAGCACAAACACTGCAGTTTACAACATAGTGTGGTTTTACTGAGTTTACTTTTTTAGGTCTACAGCTTGGATCTGTACACCATCATCTAAAAATCATTGCCCAACACAGAACCCACTGATTGAGTTACCAACATACAAACACACCTGGGCCTGCTGCTGTATTCATAAGGCTTTTAAGGTTAAACAGAATTAATCTGAAGATAGTTAACAGTGAGCACAACTTCTTACTTTGAGTTCAAGATAAAGGCAGAGCCTTGCAAAAGTGTCCTTATTACTTGAACTGGTAACACTTTATTTGAAGGGGGGTGAATAAGACTGTCATGACACTGTCATAAACATAACATAACACCTGTCATGAACATGAATAAGCCTTCATGAATATTTGACTGTTGTCATAAAGCTTCATTCGGTAAATTATGACACTTTTAATCTTATGGTTACCTAATTTTTAAAGTGCAATCATTAATACTTTTAGAACAAATTTATATCAGTAATGATTTCTTGGTTAATGTCAAGTTGTCATAACAAAGACATTTTGAATAATGTCAACCTTGTATTAAAAGTGTCATAATTTACCAAATGACGCTTTATGACAACAGTCATAAATATTCATGAAGACTTATTGATGTTCATGACAGGTGTTATGTCATGTTTATGACAGTGTCATGACAGTCTTATTCACCCCCCTTCAAATAAAGTGTTACCCTTGAACTTTATATTGTTTTTCTGGATTGCATGTATTGATCAACAGAATCAATAATTAATAACTAAAGAACTAATAAAAGTACATTTTACACCTAAACTCTCAAACACGTTATTTACATGCAAACCACTATCTAACCCTGAACACCAGCCTCAACATACTGTCTAAACTGTGAAACATAGAGGTGGCAGCATCATGCTGGGTGTGGGCTGCTTTTTTTCTTCAGTGGGGGAAGGGAAATTAAAACTGAATAATACAGGCCAATTCTAGAAAAAAACCAGCTGGAGGCTTCAACAGACCTGAAACTGTGAATAAAACCTAAATTACGGCCAATTCAGTCCAACACTAAATCTATTTGTTCATTTTTAGCTAGACACCAAACCGGCTGGTCTTAGACTGTTTAGCAAAGAAGAACAGGCAGAAATGTCAGATTTGCAAAGTTGGTAGATGCATACTATAGTTACAGCTGTAACTGCAACCCATAAGTTTCCTCCATCTTCACTATTAGACTTTACATTGAAAGTAGTCATTTCCTCATATGCAGTCACATAGAATCCCAATAACATACGTTGAAGTTCAAGTGATATGAATACTTCTGCAAGGCACCTTAAATCACCCAGAGAGTGAAACAGCTTTGAGCCCAATGCTGAATGCTGTATGAACACATGCCAGTTTGTAACCACACTGTGCTACAATGAGATGACTCCTTTTGATAAAAAAATCTTGATTACCATCTTCTGCAAAATCAACCTCGTCATTCCCAGTTAGTTTCAGTCTCATTCTCCAACAGGGAAAACCTGCATTCCTTCAGCACTAACGCTGGATTTGTCTGCAAACTCTCATATTTTTCCATAAAGCCACAAACCGTAAAACCTTTCATCGAGAAGCGGAACCATCTCCCAAACTCCAAACCCCCTCTGTTACATTATCAGGATCTGAATTTGAGTTATTGTGGGTAATACAAAATCCAGGACTTCTAAAATAAAGAGCCATAACATAACAAAACTATAATAAAATAAAGATTTTTTTTCTTTTACTTTAAATAAATATATTTTAAATAACTTTTACTTTAAATATTTCACATCAATACTGTAAACATCTGCCCTGAAGAAATTACTTTGCATTCCCTTTTTAAATACTGAACAGTTATTTTCTTTTATCTACAAAACAGCGATTTGTCACAGACTCTCCACCATGACATGTTGATAGGGATAAATTTACAGAGATTCACAGATTCGCCATTAAAGTTGATGTGCATCTAAATAAAATCAGAGGTCCGTTCAGCTGAATGGTGGATGAATCTTGTAAAGCCAAATCTATCGAAAATGTTTATATTTAATCAGAAATGGAGGATTTTCAGATAGTTCAGCTTCATTTCATTTGGCACGATACTGAATTTACCTCCCAGTGCAACTCCACTTTCTCTTAAAAACATGGCTTATTTCTGCTAGAGACAAACTATAGCACAACATGAATGTATAAGTAAAGGAAAGACAGGATATGAGATAAACAAAAACTCTCTTGTAAACCAAATGAGTTCCAATCCTTTTGCTTGAAAGAAATGTTACCCAAGCTCTTTGTGACTCACTGAGCAAATGGAGAATTTTCTTTTTACACTATGATCCCAACAAGGTTAGGTTTTATACTGTCTGCACACAATCGCAAACACAGAGAAGCACTGCACAGACAACACAAAACAAACAGGATGGCCTTGAGACAGAATGGGAGGTTTCTGAAGGGGCGCGGTGAACAGTTTCCGGACTGAACCTCTACAAACAATTTGGGAGGACTACGAAATCCCCAACTGTAAACCGACAGGAGATTTAAGATTAGGCTGACTGGATCAAAGGGTTTTTAAAGTAATAAACAAAATGAGGTGGCAAAAGGACTGAAAGTGGCATAATGCTAACATTTTGGCCTTGTTTCTCCTCGTTGCTCCCAGTTCCATGCCCTCCTCGTCTCCGGCCATCCCCACCTGGCTCCGTCCTTTGGTCTCGGTTCGGACTCCGGGGCGATTGCCGGTGCAATCCCTGTGAAGCCCGGGCATCAGAAGACGCCCCCCTCAGGCTTCCAGGCGGCGTTGTGGACCAGGCAGGTGCAGCACTGTATGGCCTGCCACCAGCTCTGGCAGTTCAAGGGCTCCACGCTGGCCTTGGCCATCATCACTTTGGAGCTGGAGGCGCTCACTCCGGACTGGTTCTCTGTCTTCACCGACCTACTGAAAAAAGCGCAGGTAAGAGAGCAGCTGAGGCCCACTGGGAGATTAATCCATGGTGTAAATCGTTGCCGCTCTCGGGAATGTGTTTAAATATTGAGCTGAGTTTCAGAAAAACTTGATTAAATTATAAAATAATTAATAGTGCAGAATCTGACACTTCAATTTGTAGGAAATTCAGTGTTTTAGAAACACTTTAGCTTTATTTTTTATTGAAGTTAAGGAAATGGAGCGCCCTCTATTTAATTTAATGACAATTGTCTTTACTTTGTAGAGTGCCACAGCAGTAGATTTGGGACAATTTAGCCAAGTTGCTATTTTCTTGCTTTATCTTTTAAAGATTAACACATATTTACGTCATTTGACATCATGTTCACCTGTCTTTCCCATTTTAAAGGAAGGGAAGGATAAGAGAAATTGGCATCATTTACGTCATACGTGCTGTGAAAGACTTGGTAGAAAATTCAATGTAGATGTTTTGTTTCCATCATAATAAAATCTAAAGGCTGGATTTTTCTAAAACATTTTTATAAAATTATGCTATTAGAATAAAAGCCATTTTTGCACATCATTACCACAGGTGCTAATAATAGCAGATGGTTCTGCCATTGGGGCCGTACAATAAATCCCAAATGTATCGTAATCGCAATATTAATATTGCAAAGAACTGTTTGGAGTGAAATTATTTAATGCACTGCAAGTGCGTTTTTAATGTCGAGCCAGTTAAACAGTCTCATGTCAGTGGATGCTGAAACTGGTTACAAAAGACATTGTCCAAAATGCCAAAGGCCCCAGAGTGCAGGAATCACATGTAATGAAAGGAAAAGAAAAACGGACCCGTACGTCACGCCTTTTATCGCAATATTTAACAGTATTGTTGTCAAATAATGTGCAGGTCTGCTGCTCATCTTTTATAAGGAGGCACAATTTGGTGCATCCAGATGGAAGAGATGTTCTTTCCTGTTTAAAAAACAACAAAACAAAATGAAATATATGGTTAAAACAGCCTCCTCTGCAGCTCCACCCTCTGTAATTAACCCAGAAAAATAGTTAAGTTTATTAAATGGAGGCATAGAAGCCTAGTATTTTATTTCTTTGAAGCCAATTAAATTATTGAAAAATAAAAACCCACGCATGATGCCGCTTAGAAATCACCTCCGAGCCGTCATTCAACCTGATCCAGTCGTGTTGCTCCTCCCAGGTTGACAGTGCCGAGTTCATCCACTGCAAAGAGATTGTAGACGAGTTTCTACACAGCATGGAGTTCTCTCTGCCCGCCAACGCTGTGTACATCCTGGACAGCTCCCAGATCCAGGAGAAGCAGCAGCAGCAGGTCTGGAGCCCCTCGCAGCGCCACACGGCGGCCAGAAGTGGGCGTGGCGCCAGTGAGCAAGCGGATTTGGATGACTACTATGACGGTTTCAGGCGTTTGTATAACGAGGAGAGTGATATCGAGGAGATGTTTGAATTTGAGCAGAAAGGTGTGTCTCCCTGCCCGCCGCTGCACCCTGCTGGCAACTAGCAGGACATCAGTCACAATCCAGCTTTTAATAGGCTTCATGATTCCAGAGGTTATTGATTTACAAGCTATTTAGTTTTAGCTCCTCTTCTGCTTTTATGTTCAGCCACATTGAATGTGGATTCGGGTACCAGCTCACTCTTATTTTGCTGTGACAACTAAGGAGAATTTAATAAGCTCAACTGTAAAGAAACGGAAATGTTTCTCTTCAGAGAGGTTTGTTTTTGCTCATCAGCTGAACTGTTTCAATACGTTAGATGTAAGGAGTTTTATTTTCAGTTTTGTCTTAATCCTGTTTAGGTTTTTAATGTGAGGTATCTTGGTGCTCAGGTTTCTCTCCAGAGCCACGAAGCACTTTAAGATAAAGTTAAACTTTTTGCAAGTATATTTTTCCAGCCTTAGTTTTGTGTATATATAAAACTTACTTGTTCTTAACATGTTTTATTTACCTTATTTACAAACGCAACCTTTTGCTCATAAGCTTTACTTTGTTTTACTAAATTATGCAAAAAATTTTTTAGTATTTTATGCTGCAACATGCATTTCCTTCATGTAACTGTTATTGCATATCAAATATGAGCACCTTTTGGGAGATTAGTTCAACACTAGATTGACAAAAGGGGATTAATCTTATGGTATTTTATTTTCAGTATTTTGTAAGTGCATTCAGTGTGAGAGCACAAGTAATGCGAGACTGAAGTTTGGGATCAAGGCGACATGTTTTGATTTAATCAGGCAGAGATTAGCCAGTGCCATGAGCTTTACTTTATCAAAGTATGATGAAAAATGCAGCCATTTGAGCAACATCTTATGTTTCTGAATGCACATCGTGTCTCCACTGCCAAAGCTCTGAAGCTCAAAGACACTGAATACTCACAGCAATAATGTCTGCAATGTGAACTAATTTCTGTTTTCTAAACCTTAAAGATGTTTCATATTTTTATTTGTGTGCTAAGGCAGCTATATCATACAGTTTTTTTGTTTTTTTTTTTACCACAAATAAACTACAACTTAAAAATTAGAAGGGTCAAATGTTTGGTTTGTCGATCTCAAAGAATGGAAGTGGGTTGAAAGGGCTTACATGCTAGCACCATCGTATAAATCTGAAGAAAATCAAACTCAATTGATTCCTCCCAGCCGGTGTTCAGGAATGGAATGGTCCTATTTAAAGTAATATAACTAATGGTACAGTTATGGTGTAATTTATGATTAATATTTAGTCAGTTTCTTAATACTTAAGAGTTTGGCAATTCCTCAATGGGGGATTTCACTCCATTTTTCTATAAATGTTTCCATTCTGAACTAGTTTTTGTTTTCATCAGCAAATTGAAATAAAAATGTTAGCTTCTATGCTATGAGACAGAAAAAGTGACATTGGATTCCAGATATCAGCTTTTTCCAAGTTCACTTATAAGCTAGCATTAGAACTGCAGCACAGCTGGCTGCTGCAGGAAGTTAAAGTAGCAGGTTCAGAGTAGTGATGGTTTTTGCACGAATGACACTTTTAATCTTCAACAATTGCAAATTTACTGACTTTATCTAATGGACTTTATCTAATTCCAAAGTTTAAATGTTCTTCAGAAATTTTAAATAGTTTAAATTATTTAATTTCAGGGCTGACCAGTTTAAGTAAATTAAACTTTCAAACTGGAGATGATCAAAATGAGTCCAACAAAACACTGTCAAACTGTCAGCCCTTTACAGCAGAATAGGAATGTATAAATCAGAGCTCTGTGTGTACAGCCATATTAAATTACAATACTCTGTAATAAAAAAGACTGGCTGCACTAGTGAATAGACATACAGTAAGTGATAAACTATTTAAGGCCAAACCTATTTTTTTTTTCCTGCTTCTCCTTTTTACTGACCAAATGCTGCTTTAAAAGTTATTGGATTGATTATGAACTGGGGTTTAGCCACCAGCCCCCATGACTGTTATAATAAAAATCAAAAAAGTTCTTATGATTCCCTTTACAATAAGTTTAAAAAAAACAGTCCTTTACAAAGTAATCAGAAAGTTTAAAAAGTTTTAGAGCTTTTCTTAAGGTATTTAATTTTTTTTTTCCTTAAGGTATTTTATCAAGTTAATTGTCTGAAACACGTAGATGTGGCTTCACCTGGGATTAACTTTCCATTTTGCAGTGAACCATGAAACGCGTCATGGCAGCAGAAAGCAGCAGCTGCTGTATAACGTCAGTGATTATCACTCAGCTTTGTTAGCACAGTGTCCTGGTGCTTTAAAGGACACGACGTAGAGCTGCGAACATATTGTGCTGCTGGAAGAGATCCAGTCAGCCCTGCAGGTGGTGCACAGAATAATAATAGACTTGGTAAGGGATTCGCATAAACAGAGAATCTGTATTACTGTGGTGCGACTTCCTCAGTCTGTTTTAAAGAATTACTGAAGTACTCCAGGTGGAGACACAGAGCGAATCAGAGATATCCCAGAGTTTCTAAAACTGAAAAAGATCTTCACACAAAATCAAGCACTTAAAAATTGGTTTTACAGATCATGCTGATAAAAATGAATAGCAAGGCACATTTTTATTCCTAATGGGAGAGGATCTTGAAACTGCAGAATAGTTTTGCAGTCAACGAGACAAATGGTGGTGGAAGCACCATGCCTAAAAGCACAAGGAAACTGGGCAGGATTTATGGGAACACAGAAGTAAAAACCTTCTAGTCTTAAAATGGGGTAAAGGTTCACCATTTAGCAGGACAAAGTCCTTAAATATACCCTGGAGCAACAAGAGACTATTTAATTCAAAGCACATTAATGTCCAGTTAAAGTTCAAGCTACAATGTAATAGAGAATCTGTGGCAAGATCTTAAAATTGATGTTCACAAAATGAGCTAGAGCTACTTTGCAAAGAATGGGCAAAAGTGTCATTCTTTAGATGTGCAACGCTGACAGAAACCTACAGATGGTTTTACAAATTGAATACAAATGCATGCCATGTATTTCAGACTTATCTGAAAAAACCATTATAAATGTAGAACATACAGTGAAATAAGTGACAAAACACACTCAGTTTGTCAAGGCACTGTACTTCTCCTTTTCACTACTGCACTCCACCTTTAGCAAACAGAGAAACCACAGAGTCTAACACAGTGTTGACTTAGAAACAGCAACACACTGAGCAAACAGTGCAGCTGCTTCAGTTCCAAATCGCCTCCATCTGACAGCTGTTTAGGCTGCAGACACGATGAGTGCGTCTTTACCTGCCCGTGTTTCACCACCGTCCTCATCTCCCAGGAGCAAAAGCAGACAAACAAATCAGAGCACAGAGAGGCTTCACATTTCGGAGGGAGGGTTTGCATTTATTTGCATCAACAGACAGTAAATACAGCTGCTCTCTTCTCCATGTCTGAGCGTAAACTCTCCTACAGCGAGTTGAGGCTTAAATGTTTACTGGCTTCATAGTCGTGATTCCACTGGCGTAACAAAATGATCACGCAAGGTTTACAATATAGTTAAGTCACTCACAAATAATGTACACCCTCTTATGGGCTTCTTACATCAGATTCATTAATCATATTAAAAATTAGTACACATTTGCATATTACTGGAAGCTTGGTAAGCTCGAGAAAATATTCACATACATTAACTGACTTACAGCATTAGAATATTGCATAGATTTTAAGACGTAGGACTACATGTTGTCAGTACCTCTAAATGCAGGTACTCAGTTATTGCTTGACACGCTAAGATTTTAATGTATTATTCACTAATGAGGGACTGATTATACTAAACTAATTCCTCAGGGTTACAAAAAGACAAATTACCTCTGAATATTTTAAATGGCTCATACATTTTTTAAAAAGTTGAGGACCTTTTAATCTTCGATTTGAACGTCAGGCCTATAAAAACTGGGTGTCCCTTATATTTTATATTTTCTTTAAATACATATTTTGCCCATATTTCCAAAATTGTAGTACCACGAAATGACAATGCTTGACAAGATTTAATCAGTTTGGATGGCTAATGAGGAAAGAAAAGATACAGAAAATATTTAAAACAACAAAGAAATTAAAATAAACAGATATTTATTTAAAAAAAAAGTCCAAAGATCACATAGAAAGATCCTGAATCAATGAGATGGCCACTGATGGACGTGAATATTTCTCTCTCTCACCATCTTTCACTCTTTTTCTCTCCTGTGGCTTCACCATCATCATCATCCTCAGTGTCTTTGGTCCATGTGCACAATGTCAAGATGGAATGTCAAAACAAGACAAAGAAAAACAAACAAACAAACAAAAAAAAACACAGATGTGGTCGTTGCTATGGTGATGGAGGACAAATCCATGGTCGTGTGTGGATGGGTGTGCTGCGCCTCAAAAATTAACTGAAAAACAATGAAACAATAAAGAAAATAAAGTGAATCAATGGCTGACTGGGTTGTTGAAATTTTAAATAAAAACAGTGAAAAATAGAAGTTGGAGCAAAATAAAAATAAAAATCAAGCGTTAGTGATAGGGGGTAAAATAAATAAAGCTCGCCTGTTCAATCACCTCTGTTATAAAATGCCACATTTAATTTGAGGAATTTAATCTGAGAAGATTAGGAAGAACTTTAACAAATCCACAAAATGGAAGACTGGCTTGTTTCATAAGGCCACAGACAGTGTGCATGAGCAGCCACAAGAGGGAGCCACTTCTCTACTTTTAAACTTTCACAATTCAAACCACACAGAAACGAATAATAACCAGCTGAAGAAAAAGTAGCTAAAAAGTAGCTTTAGTTGAAACTTGTTAATTCTCGAAACAATTACCCAAATTTATTTGCAAGACAAACATCCTGCAACTTTCTGTTAATGGAGATATTCACTAAAATATGCGAAACGGTGAGAAGTTGACAAAAAACCCACTGATTTCATGTGTTTTTATACACTTTGTTAATTCAGTTTGTGCATGGACACTTTCAAATGAACACTTATGAGCGGGGTTAATGTTTTAAAACTTTGGATTGTTTTTTACGTGAGGAACTTGAACTGAGCACAGCTCTCCCTGAAGCCATTAAACAGGAAGTGAAAGAAAGATGAGGTTTGTGGGCACACACAATTTAAGCTGTTAAGTACAAATGTTACCTTTTCTGCTGCAACCTGTTATTGATAACTGGGCTCCTCTCCCTTTAAACATAATCAGAACCAAAGACTTATGCCTCAGCAATCAAAAATTATAAATGAATATCTCAATCTCTTCTCTGTCTACAGCAAATCAAATCTGTCACTTTTGACTTTTCTTACTATAATATAGCCAAGTAAAGTCAAAATACCAGCAGAGATGTCGCAACGGATTATTTCATCAGCCGACAAATTCAGAATTTTGATCAACATCTTTGTAGAGGCTTTAAAAGCGACTAATTAAAATCATAGTGTAAATAGGCAAAATTATCCAGTTTCAAACTTAAGTTACTTTCTCAATTAGAGCATAAACATATGGAAATGAAAACATCTTTACTGAGTATTCGGCTACATAAAACTGCAGTTGATGTGATTAAAAAGGTTAACAGGGTGGAAATGCTTTGCAGTGACAATCAGTATAATTAATGCTTCCCATTAATTAACATGAACTACTGGTAGCTCATCTTAAGTGTAAATTTAGTGGAAATATTTCACTGGAACTATAAACATGAAGCTATAATTGGTCCTTGATTTGGGTAAATTTGGGGAGGGTGGGGGGAAAGAAGCCTTTTTCTGGAAGCAGGCACTTTTAAGCAACACATTTTGTGCGAACAAGTGGAAAAACTGAACAGACCAGGAAAGGCCTGGATTAAATTTAATAATATGTGTTTAAATTTTCAAGATTCCTTGATTATGATTATGGAAATAGATGAGTAATACAAAATTCAATAATGGAGCTTCTTCATAGACGGGTCACTGCTGATGTCTGACACGTTTTGGTCTTCTGAGAGCAACATCTCACAATTTATTATATTTTATATATTTATTTAGTGAGTTGTATGCAGCTCTCTGAAAAAAATCACTTATGAGACTGATTGATTTGTGTTTACTATATAATGTTACTTTAAATCCACTTTACAATAGTTATTGTTGTGAGTGTGAACTGAAAGTAGTTTGAAATAAAAATGTGCGGCACTTGAACTGCACTAGCACATCTGTAATTTGAACAAGTGTAGCTGTTTCTTGGCTAAACACTGCATCAGTTTTCAGAGCTTTTTGCTGCCTGAGGGCGCGCCGACTGCCTCCACCCCGAGTATCCTGAATAATTAGAGCGAAACGAAAGGAAAGAGTGAAAGCACAGGAAACGTTCAACTTGGGAAGAAAAAAAAGGGAAGACGTTTCCTTCACACTTGCCAGGTCCTTAAAAAAACGCTAAAGTGCTTTATGTTTTGGAGATGATTCCACAACAGCAGAGCTCACTCCTTCACAAAGTCATTAATGAAAGGGTTTGCTGCTGGACATGGCAGAATGTGCACTTCCTGCTTCGAAGTAAGAGTTAAACAGCAAAATAAGAAAGAAAAACTGCAGCACATCTACCAGCGGACAGCGTTTCAACTCTGAGGCACACAATGGAAGGAAGAAGAGTTGCTGAAAGAAATTAGGAGGCTTGGAAAACGAAGCGTCCTGTTATTAGAAGAAGAATACAGGAAGTGGGTGATTAAGAGGAAGGACTGCCTTACTTTTTCTTGTCCTTGTCTTTCTTGAGGGGTTGAGATGAGAGCGTCTCACATGCCACCTTCCTCCTGTTGAAGGCATTCATCTCGTCCTCCAGCTCCTTCCGCTTCTCCTCCACCTTCCTCTTCTCATCCTGGTGCATCCGCTTCAGCTGCTCAAACTTTTCATGGAGCTGAGCCGAAACAAAAACAAAAGCTTGCATTTGTATGTGTCATGGCTACATTTAATATTCAAATGTGGATCACAAGTTTATGTGAAATAAAACCTTTTAAGTTAAAGGTGAAAGAAATTGCAACCAAATTTTTTGTGTCTCTAAAAAAGTTTCAGATTTCTGTTCTCGTTTCTTGTTTTATTGTAGATTCAGCAACTGCAACTTCTCTCTCACTGTTGTGGAGGAAGTTAATGTGCTAAAAAATATTAAAACTAAACTAGACAAAGCTTTACCCCACACAGGTAACTGTTCTGCATTAAACTTCAGTTCTGTATTTAACTCTACATTGGTTCATTCTTCTCCAGCTTCGTATCAAATGTTCTGACTTTTCCAGACTCCAAATTTATTATTATCAAAAGTGATGAATCACTGTGAATTCAGGCTCAATATCTCTGCAGTAGTCAGGCCTTAACATGGATGCTGCCATAACCAGAGAATGACTGGAAGGAATCACCAAATGCATCAAAAAACAGATGAATTAACAACCAGACCAGCATATTGAGAGACCAAAGGATGAATGGATGGATATCTTCAAAAAATAAATAATAAAATTGGAGCCACTATCCACAAAGTACATGCTTTAAATTCATATCTTCTTTTAGTATTTGACAACCCCCTCACTGTGGTGTGCTAATTATCCCACAAGCATCTGATGAGTTCAGCTCCTCTAAAATAAAACTCAGTCCACCAAACCTGTCAGATAACTGTGTGCACATTTTTCTGTTTTTCAGGACACAATAAATGCTTTTTTTCACTCTCATATTACACCAAAACTTTAACAAAATGTTTATGAAGAATACAACATGACATTGAAAACTCTCTGCAAGTTTCTAAATCGACACTCTGCCAAAAGTGATCATATTGTAGACAGAAGTGCAAAAAAGTAATTTTACAAATCATGTTCAGAATAGTGCACTATATAAGCCAAAGCACAAGTAAAATGGCAAACAATATTAGCAAAAAGTAAAGGTATTTCATTTTGGAGATGTTTATCCAAATTTCAAACATCATCTATGGCACCGTAAATACTTCTAGATTTAAATCCACATCTGAAATGAACGGAATGATCTGACCCTAAAAATGTCAACACAGCATTTTGTATAAACGTTCAACTTTATTCTAATACAGCCTGCAGTGTTCAACATCCTGGGAAATTGATGTTACTATAGAACTCTGAAACAATATCCATGAATGAATGTTCATACACCAGCGAGGCCAACGAGCAAAGAACCACGGCTGATTCTATCAAAAGAAAAACCAGAGAAGAGGTGGAGCGTGGAGAAAGGAAAAACTTCTTACAGTTTGTTTCAGATCATGATCTCCGGTTTAAAACAGTAAGGCTGCCTTGGTAGAGGCTGGTGGCAAATGATCACAAAAACTAAACCCAATCCCAACTTCAAAAACATTCGCACCTAAATCAAACTTGTGGATGAGATACTAACTAAAGAATATTTTTATTTCTTAATTGTTAGGAAGTTTGAGCTGAGCTGCCATTACCCAGAACTTTTGCTGTTCTGTCGGTTAACAAGACCAGCTCTGAGTTTTCTTAGCTGTCTTAACTAAAATTTGTCATCATAATCTACATCATGGGATATTATATTTCTATCTTTGCTGCTGGTCGGTGAAAATGGTTAAAACAGGAACTGTCAGATGATTCTAAGGAAAACTGAAGGTCCAGATCATGTGAAGCAACTTATTTCTCACTTACCTCTCGTTCCTTTTCTTTGAGTTCTGCTTCGGTTTCTTTTACTTTGTTTACGAACATTTGCCTCATTTCTTCTTCTTTACGTTGCAGATCCCCTAAGAACTCTTTCCTCTTGGCTTCGTATGTTTCTTGAAGACTGCAGGAATGAAACGAGACAGAAAAGAGTTAAAAATAGAGAAAGTTATTGTTGCCAAACAATAGAGATTGTTTTCTGACGTTGGCATTTGAGCAGTTGTGTGGTTCTGCACTCTGTCCATCCCAGTGGACTGAGTGAGGTTCTCAGTCTACCTAAAGGGCTGGCTGTCTGGGTCTGTGTCTTTAAAGCCCATCTCCTCCAGTTTGCAGCGCCGGTACAGCTCGTAGTGGCGGGCGTGCGTCTGCTCCCTCAGATCCTCCATGTTGACCCGGATCAGCATCTCTCGGAGTTTTACAAAGTCACAGTGGCTCTCGTTCTCAACTAAAAGAGAAAACAAACACACATTATAATTAGATCTGAAATTTGCAGTGTTGCTCACTTTTCAAATCAAATCCCCATAAATCCTCCTCTATATCATCATTACTACAATAAAAATATTTATACTGAACTCGTTCAAACTTTGTTGTGAGAACAATAAACTTTATTAGGTGTTCATCAACTAACAGGCCACGGTTATAATGACTGCTAAGTGGACGGAAGAGGAGAAACGGTTTTCAAACTTTCTGTCAAATAAAAATCTAGAAAGTGTGGGACGCATCTGTGTTTATAGCTGCAGGCTGCTGCATGTCACCATCAGCTTCACACATATAGATACTGAAATTCATGTCTATTCTTTAAAAAAACAACAAAAAGCTCAAGCTGAACTGGCATTAAAACAGATTTTATTCCTAGACATCTTTTTGTTCAACTCCAACCACATTCCCATCAGCTCTGACCAGATTCCCCTCCATGCCTGAGGAAAAACATCCCCACAGCATGATGCTGCCACCGCCAGGTCTCCAAGTGGAGATGGTGTAATATTTTAATATATTTAATTCTTGGAAGCCTACTCCAAAAACTGTTAATGTGATCTTCATAATGTGAAGTAAAAGGTTGATTCTATTCACCATTTAGGATTCTTTTAAAGGCAACAGGCCAAATAAACATTTATTTATAAAACATCTTTTCTATTGGGCAGTCCCCTAACATCTCAGAATTCATTAATATTTATAGCTTTACAAAGAAAGTGGAAAATTTCAGGGAACATAAAATCTTTTATAAAGCACCAAGTTTTGATTTCAAGCCAAAACTAATAACCGTTTAATGTTTAAGTCTTAGTGAGTTGCTCCGAGTCAGATTACTTCAGGAAAACAGCAGGACGTGTTTCCTGACTGACAGACAAAGAGGTGTTTATGCTGCTCTAGGAATCATTTCTGTTCTGCTGAAGCCAAACGATATGAACAGTTCTGGAGAAGTCGCCTCCTTCTGTTAGTTTGAGCTCAGCTTATAAAAAACATGGACACTGTGTGAGAGCAGAGGAACCACATATTAAGTGGCAGAAAGCATTTATTTCAAAAGGAAAATATTTCAGACATTTCATGGAATAAAATTTAATGTTCCCATTTTTGTAAAGGTCCATGAAAAGAATCCCAACAGACCCACAAGGTGGACAAGAAAAAACAACTTCTGAGGTTTTTGGGACCATCAAATGCCTGCTTTTAGCTCCGTAAGTAAGAGGAAAATCTACAAAGCTTTGTTGAATTGAAATCAAACTACAATCCCATCTTTACCCAAGGGGCATGTGCAGACTGAAAGTACATGGACTACACGGGTCATGACCCCACACATGGCAGCGAGGGGGTAGGGGAAGGCGGGTGTTTAAATGCCACAACAGGCTGCAAGACTTTAAAATGCAAAAACCACCATGTGACTTTCAAAGCAGCCTGACTGGTGAAAAATGACAACTCAAACATATCAGCTAAGCAGAATAAAATTTCCATATTAGTCAAGGCAAAAGAGAGCAAATAAACAATCCCAGAAACTCTACATTTATTTTTAAAACATCTTTAAGAAGACGCCTAATAACCCATCAGGAGAAGCGTGGTAAAAAAAAGAAACCAGTGCGTTCAGTTCAGGAGCTGCCTGCTCATTGGGTTCCTAATCTCCTCCCTGTTCTGGCCTCCTGCTGAGAGAAAGCCCAACCCTGTGACTGACGGCAGAGCTCAGCCCGCAGGGAGCAGAGCAAGGAAATCTGCTGACAGCGGAGAGGCTGAATCCTGGTGCCAGCAGGCATCCTGAGGAGAGGCTGGGCTACAATTCACATCGTCTGTCATTTCAACTGTTGGGGTAAAAAAAAATAAAATAAAATCCTGTCCTATTTTTAACCATCGATTTTTAAAATGCAAATAATAATATATTTGATTGCGTTTTGTTTTCATTTGGTCTAATTAATATTCAGTCTGAAAAAGCTGAACAGAGAATCCACACTGCGCCTTCACTAACAAGCTGATAAATGCATGTGATTTTTTTCTCCGCAGTCACAGGAACCAGTGTTGCCCCAGTAACTACATGGAAACGATACAATGAAACGACTACACTTAAATTATGAACGATTCGACCGCTGTGACTCTCAGATTCTGGAGTTACAAATGCCACTTGAGCCAAATTTTTTGGATCATGGAACATTTCAACAATTCAAGTAATCAGAAGTAGGGAAAACTTTTAACTGAGGTGTGTCCTGGTGCAGCAAGCCGCCTGACTGGTCTGATAACAGAAGCTACAAAATACAGGAAATAATCTAATCCTGGCCTTTTAATGATGACTTTAGTGAGGCTCATTTAAACTGGTTGGTTTCCAGGCACAGACTCAGATTTTAAACAGCACTGAGGTTGTAGTGTTACTTGTTTAAAAAAAAAAGATAATAATTGTAATGTGTGTTTGGGAACATTCTGTTGAAACATCCCATTCAGTCCAATTTTTTTACCCATCTGACCAAAGTTTTTATCCAGAACAGATCCTAGTTAGGATGATCAAGAAAAACCTAGAAAGCACCAAATTCAAAGCTGAACTGAACTTAAAACTGCTGGAGCAGAAACCCCAAACCTCAAACCGAGACGACTTTACATCAACACCAAGACAGAGAGTGTTAACTAAGGAATAAAAAATAAATTAAAAAAATATCTACATTTTGACATTTGAATAAAGTTTGCTGCATCAGAGGAGAAAAAGGTTGAGCTGTTTGGATTTAATGAAGAATAGTTTGTAGGCAAAGTTATTATTTGAGCACTACCATTTATTATTATAAAAAGAAGAAGAAGAAGGTCAACAATCCAGTTTATAGTTTACAGGATCTTCCTGAAAGCTACAAAAGCTTCTGGAGCATATTAATGAGGGTCTATATATGTTTGTAATTTAAACTTACACCCCAAATCCTGTTGAACAATCAAGAATAATAGTTCCAGTTTAATAATAAGACTGCACTGGAGAAAGAATGATTTAAAATAATTAGAAACCCAAAACTGAATAAGAAATTTATGATCATCAAAAGTAGACGTTCATTTTTAACCTAATGGTATAAGAGAGTTTATTGGAGTGTTTCTGAATAAATGGGGTTCCGGTGAATCAAGAACATCTAAGTACTCATAATGTTCATGTCATTAAATGCATTTTAAACGTCTATAACCCAAATATCAACTGTCTGACATTCCCAACCCGACAGCATTGCAACATGATGACTGAGAATGAAATGCATTCTTTGCATGCATGTGTTGCTTCCAGACATCCATTTTCACACAAAGCACTTGGAAATGTTTTTGCAGCATAACAAACACTCGACCATCAGGCTTCAGAGCAGAAATACCAGAGCTCTGTCCCATGTCACACAAGTCAGGAAGCACAGAGATAACGGAGCCATGAGATCCTGAGGGAAGACAAGCACACACTCACCGAGCTCCCTACAATTACTCTGTTTTTGTCACAGCACAGTCCTTCCTCTGTCTCTTCAAGGAGATGGAAATTTCTCATGGCTCTTTTCAAGAGGCTACACAACCAATCTATATGACATCTGGCATGAACTAAGGGTTTTCTCTGATGGAGCTCCTCATTTCAGCCAACAGAGAGAAAACAGAGGCCTGCTGTTCTTCACCTCCTGGCTTTACATTCGCCTAAAAATGTGTTCAAAGAATAATAATTAAATAAATGTGATACATTTTTCAGAAAAATACAAAAAAGTGAATCTTATATCACTTTGAATTTAGCCGTTTCATGCTCAGCAGAAATGGATGAATAGTGGCAGAAAAACAAAAATCTAACCTAATTGCTTTCTACAAAGTGTCATTAGCTTCTTAGCTAAACAACTGTTAAAGGCCAAATTAAGGGTAAATAAAAGTTTATTAGCCACCTTTTAACTGAGATTCATACTTTCCAACATCGTAAATGTAGAAAATGTCCAGCTTAAAAGTGAAAGTAGGCCGTTTTCAACTGCTGTTAATCTGTTCCTGAGCTGTTGCTTTGTTGTGACTCCAGAACAAACAAAATCTGTCCCCCAGGAAGAACACAAAAAGCTTCATAAATAACCAGCGAGCATCCTCTGAGGGTTGGAGAATGAGAATGGTCAGAGCATAATGGGAAGAGGGGTTCAGCCAGAGAGAGCAGTAAACCGAGGAGGAGAGGAGGGAGCCAGTTCCTGAGAGGCGCTCCCACATGAGCAGTAACATTCTCACTGTGCATCTCTGTCACGTTATTAAATTAAACTGTTTACCAGCACTGACAAACACTGAGGAATGAGGAGTGGAAGAAGAAAACTCCCAAGAAAGCAGACACTAGAGGTGACATCTCTATAAAAACATGTTCCAGGTAAAAAGCCACAGACACACAGAAAGCCATACAGATCGAAAACTAACAGATACCAGCAAATATTAGCAACTTCATAAAGGAAGCCATTTACCCTTCTGCCCTTTCACTACATTTTCCCACACAGGAAATCACACGTGGAACATTAACAGGGCGAGTAGAAATAAATCGGCCAACAAAGTGTGCAGTTCACACTTTGCCACAGGCAGTTTATCACCGTTGACACAGATATGTGCTCAACTGCAACTAGACACTAAAAAACACACAGCTAAAGCAGAACTCAATGTTAAAGTTGCTTAGTCTTTGAACAAAGACGAAGATATTTTGAAAAATAGACAAATGAACAAGGGATAAAAAAGGAAAATGCTAAGATTATTTAAGTTCCAGTAAGAATCTATTGCTTTACCTTGGCCAAATGTATAAAAAAAGAAAAAGAAAAAGTTTGAGTTTGAGTGTAAACTCAAAAACTTACTTTTAATGTACTTACTAAATCTTAAATTTTGGTTCTGCTTTTACCATGAAAAGACAAGAATGCCACAGCAATATGAGCAAATTAACATTTCACAAATGTAAACCAAGTAAATGGTGACACTCATTCTACATATTACAAAACAGTTGCAAAATGTCTGAACTTATTTCTTTTCAGGACACATGCGAGTCGCTGTTGTCCTAATATTTTACATCCAGTGTTTCACAATATTACCAGTAGCTACAGCATCCTGATCCGTTTATTCAATAATCATATTCTTATTAGAGAATAAAACATTTTCACCAACAAAAAAAACATTTAGTGTGACTAATTTTCTCAGCAAAGAAAATAAAAACTGGTTAATTGTAATCTTAGGAATTCCTATAAATTGCACCTACTGGTGATTCACATCTACTTTAAGGTTGATCAGAATGTTAAACAACTTATGAAATATTTTGAATATAACAATTTGACCTACTCTTTGTAATGGTGAAGACAAAATATTCCTTTAAAGTATTACGTAGTTCATAACTTCATGACTGGAAATAACTACAGGGAAAAGCTACCAAATCTGACCTGACCTGAAATGCACAACCCAAATTTAAACAAAACTAGACAATAAAAATAAATGTTGGTATTGTGAATGTTTTTTGTTTAGTTGTTTTTGGGTGTTTGAGGCATCTAGTCAACTTTTGCTTCAAGAAACTATGAATGAAATGTTAATTAAACTCATTGGTATTTAGACCAACCCTAGTCTGGTACTCCATCCGTATGATCTCCAACAGGACAAGCATTCAGCACAATCCTGTTTGCTTGTGTGAAACAAACACACCCTTCTTGTGACTGAGCAGCTCTTACCTTGCACCACTCCCCAGGGATACTGTCTGGCCCTCACTGTTTTGTTCCCCACTTTGACTTCTTCCACGCTTCCGACCACAGCGAATGGCAGGTGGGCCTGCACAGGCAGAAAGGCCCATAAATGTTAGAAAGATCAAAAGATCCAGCTGCAACCAGAGACATAACCAGGGGGTTCCAACTCGGCCTACATCTTCCATGTTACAATTTTATGCTCCTTGCTCTTCCTCATTTACACCACAGAAATGGTTTTCTGAATGCAACATCTTTTGCATCAGCTTTACTGGAGGTGATAATTTAAACACAAGCCTCTGATGAAGGTATTTTAATTGTTCCTTTAGACACGGCGTCTCTGTGGGACCGACAGCGGGGGGCCGTGTGGAAAACAGACCCAACATGCTTCCTCAACAGTTTGATGGCGAGCTGAAACCAGCTGGGATGAAGCTAAGGGGGACAAGATGGTGGGCGTGGGCACTGATGCAACGGACTATAAATAGATCAGGAGAGTGAGGATAAAACCGCTGAATTAAATGCACTCTCATTTGTGCATCTGAACATAAGTGGGTGAGTGTTGGTAAACTGAAAACATCTCATCATTTAGAAACTAAAATAAAAATGGAAACCTTCCCAGGAAAATCAGTTCCACTAGTTTTATTTCAACACTTTTGCAGTATTACATTGAAATTATTTGTGACTTTTTTTTTCTCATATAGTCATAAAATTATGTTTTTTGGAGTAAAATGATTAGTTTTACTTGCATTATTTTATTATAGAAAGAAAACAACATAGCAGAAATTGTAGTTACCTTTAAAAGATGATAGAAAATATAAGGCTCACGTATCTGTTGAATGATATTTGCAGCTAAATGTGGAAACTGGTGCTCCAGTATGCAGTGCAGCAAAAATATACAGCACAACCCTCAAGTTTCCCAAAGCCTCAGTTCCAAAATATCTAATTTTATCATGGATTTAAGGCAGACATGGCAACTTGGAACACAGGTAAATAAATGAAGGAAAGTAGGAAAAATATTTTTATACAATCCATTTCCTTTTTCTGTATTTATCCTACTACTATTACGCCTACTACTTTTGTGTAAAGAAAAAAAAATACATTCGGATCATAGTAACAACTAATAGCATTTTGCTGTGTCACTCTGCAGATAAATAAATAAAAATATGTTGGCTTGCAAAATGACACCACTAAGGTAACATTTCATGCCAATCTTAAAAGAATCTCTGAATTTGCCAGATGTTACCATCCAACTTCTGTAAAGCAAAACAAAACGTGACTTACGTTCATGGAGGCGTTGATCTCACTAACAGCTTCATCGTCTGTCGGGAACTGATAGATCTGGACACCGTTGCTCACGAGTTCACTCATTATCTTGATTTTGAATTTATGAAGCTCGCTCTTGGAGATTGTGTCCGCTTTGGCAATGATGGGAATTATATTGACCTAAAGAGAGGATGAAAACAACCAAAAGGATAGACTGTGAAAAAGCTGCATCGTAGGAAAGAAAAATAAAAAAATCTCCAAAGCTGAGGGCTAAAAAAAGAGCCATGTTGGAGTCATCAAGCCTCCAGCAAAAGAGGTTATTTGATTACTCTTACACATATTTACCACAGGTGGCAGGAAAGCGAAACAGTAAATAAGTTCAGCTAGAACTGATGGCCATTCATAGAACAAGCTGCCATTATGAAAACAAACTGCATTCCTTGCAGAATCAGCAACAGATGTGCAGAAATAAATATAATTTGTCTGCATTCCTCCATACAGCTGCTTTGCTGAAAATCTATCTGGGATGATGTGAAAACTCCCACAGATCCACTCAAATCAATCCCACAGTGAGCCTCTGAGCAAAAGCTAGCTCTCATTAGGAGTCAAATTACAATCTCATCACACTTTGCTGGATCATTAATTTGCAGCTGGGCACCCCAGCATCATGTTCTCACACTTACTTAACAAACCGTGTTCTCTAATCGCTACCCAGGACTGATAACGGGGTTGTACGTCTCCTGAAGGAGATTGGGAGGACATGTAGGCCAAGGAAGGAGCGGACAGTGACGTTTGTTCACTTCCCACAGCCGGGTTTTCCCAGCTGACCAGAAAGCCAAAATAGCTCTGCTTGCTGTGAACAACCAGGACCACCAGCTGTAAATACATTTCAGTTCACATGTAGGAAAAATCACTAGAAAAACAGCCGTGGATGCAGTTTGAGACACTTTGCGTTTTATTCAATGACAAGTGACGCTTTCGATTTTGACCTCCCTAAACCAGCAGAATATTAATGGCAGCACACTGAACCTTTAGTGGACAAAAATACTGAACAAGCAACGTGGGGAAATATTAGTAATAGTTTTAGAGGATATGCTATTCGTTATTTAATTCTTGGTATTGTTATGAACTTATTTAATGGACCTTTTTAACTAATTTTCAATGGGAACCATCCAAAGCAGCTTAATACCTAGAAAATAATTCTTTATATATTACATGTAATGTTTTAGCTACTAAAATACATTAATTATTTATCCACTCAAGTTCAATAAGTGTAATTTAGTTCTAAACATAATGAAGTTGATTCAGGAAACAAGTCATAAAAGCATAAAACAACTAATTATAATTCACTCAATTGAGACTGTAATATAATCAAATATAGAAAAAAATCTTGAATTGAATACTTCATTAAAAGTCTTGATCTTTTTTAACAGTCTGTACAATGTCATATCAAATTATGTTATATATAAGATCATAATTTTTTCTGCTTATGTAACAAGTTTGACATGAAAATTTAAAGAAAAAAAGTTTGATACGTTTTCTTTTTCCCACCTGTCACATGAATACATGGCAGACAAATATATATATGCACACACACACATACACACACACAGATCAATTCTCTTTAGTTTTCAAGATTAAACTTTATCTGACACAGTATGGAATGTAATTTATTTTACCATCAAGTTATTCTGCACTGTCAAAAAAACTAAATTTTACCAAATCTCCTGTTTTAAGTTAAATGATAAAATAAAAGCAGGTTGGAATCAGTGAAGTACATCTAGCAAAGGTAATCCATATCAAGAGCAATGCAAAATTATACAAAATACGTGAACAAAAGCAACAAAGCTAACCATTTCATGTTTTATGTCCTCAACTGACATCAACATGATAATATTACAGCCCGTCAGAGCGACAGTGACCTAAACAAAGGTGCTCAGTGTGTTGCATCACCTGCTAGCAGATAAATCTTGTAAACATGTAGAGGCGAGAGCAGCAGGATGGATAGGAGTATGGATGGTGTATGTAATGTCTCTGACCGCTGTGCTCATGAATTTGAAAATATAAATACATTGAGACATTACCTCCCATTTTAATCATTTTCAGGGCAAAAGCTGGTCACAAACATAAGTCGGAGCTTTAATTTTTAAAAACACAATCAGCCAAGAATAAAGCACTGAGGCTTCAAACTGTAAACAGCTCACCAGTTTTAACTTGAAAATCTAGAAAACTTTAGCTCAGGTAAATGACATCCTCTTTTCACAAAAGCAGGTAGAGACTTGGCTGTGATTATTTGGATTGTGTCAGTAGACAGCTGGCAAATGTCATGTGCCAGGATTTGATCGTCCTATTGGCTGCTAAACAGCTCTGAAGCTCAGTGGTCAGCTCAACTGACTCACCATGAGTTCTGATATTTCTTCCCTTTATTCTTCCCTTTATCTGAAGTGTGAACAGGTTTAGTCTTAGCTCAAAATTGTAGCCTGGCTTCCCTTTTCAAGGCTTTAACATCGGCCAAAGTTTTGTGAATTGGGTTAAGTCATAATAAATAAAAAACCTAAACTAATTCTGAAGTTATCTTTTGAACCATTCATTTTATATGTTTTCCCTAAACACAATCCAGTTTCTGTTCCTTGAGAGTGAGTCTTGGCTAAGCTGGCAGTCAGTGCTATGAATAGTATCGGCAGGTATTTGGCAGGCATGAATCGAAGGTTGGCAGAGGTAAAGGCAGCAGGTTCTAGTTACACGAGCTCCATCTGTTTATTCAGGATTTATTATTTGTGCACCAGCAAAAAAACCAACGGCTCAAAGACTGCCTCAGTCATTCGTGCAGCAGAGCCGTCAGTAGCCATAACAAAGAAACACTGTGGGGGTGGCAAGCAAACCATCTCAGAGCAAGACGCTGTGCATCAAATTGATGATGCAACAAATGTTTGATTACTGAAACCGTCTTATGACTTTATGTTAATCATATAAAACTACAAAAACTTTGTCTTCAAACCATTAAAAATAGCTTTAATGCATTGCAGTCATTTAATGAACTTTTATACATTTTTTTTGTCTCCATCTGTCCTATTACTTTTTAAAAGATTTTCATGATATACACCCCATTAATTAATTATGCTATTGCAGAGGTTCCCAAACTGTGGGGGGCGCCATGTCATTGCAGGGGGGGCGCGGGAAGCCGTCTGGATGAAAAAAAAAAAAAAAAAAAAAAAACCTGTATGCGCTGGGTTTTTCCCTTAAAATGGCCAACTCCTTTTTTTTCCTTTTTCAA